TCATTTGCTTGGAATAAATTGGCTCAGTACCTATTTTAAATTAAGGAAGTTATTCTGTTTTTTTCTGCACATATGAAGATGCAGTATACCCTCTTGGCCTGTTTATTTATTTATTGCTTGTAATTGGTATCCTTTGTTTGATACTCAGGTTCACCGGCAAACATGGCATTTTGAAATGGGCATACTTACAAATTATTTAATTAATTTACTATAGAGAAATAAAAATCGCCTTTTTTGAAATTTTAGTCTGATAATGGTCAGCGATGGATATAAATTCCTACCAGAACAGATACAGTCTATTAAATTCTTTGAAATACTGAATTTGATGACAAGAGAACCAGGGATAGGAAATCCAGCTAAATGTTAAGAAAACTTTCTTAAATATTTTTTTCTTTGGAATACAAAAAACAGAATAATTTTTATAGAACAATTGTAACAATTGCTAAGTATTTTCTAATCACTAATTGCCAATATAACCAACTAAGTGCCAAAGGTTTTATCTATCAATGTAAATAGCTTTCTTGTCATAAATAAATATGTCTATTTTAGATGTGCTGTTTTTCACCTTCTTTCTTCCACTAGTTAATACTCATGATGAGCTGAGAAAGTTTAAGAGAAAAAGTGTGATGAAAAGTAATAGTTTGCACAGTACTTGGGTTGTGTCAATAGACATGCGGTGCTCAGCTTCTAAGATTCTCAGTCATTAGATTAAGTTATCACAATTACTAAGATGATTGAGTGTATTTTGGCACCACAAGTGGTTTTAAGGACTTACGTAATTCTGTATGCTTGCGTAATAGGAGTTTATTTTGTCTTTCTTTATTCTTCTTACTCGTTTTTCCCTGCTTAGAGAATCTGAGAAAAGGGAAACAAAATTCTTATCTATCACCAAAAGTCCTTACTAATAGCAAGCTAACACTGCTAGAGACAATTGAATGACTTATCTGTACTATTCAGGTCCCTCTTGTTTGTTCTAGGGACTATGGGCTCTTGTTCACCATCAATTGCACTTCAACTTCCAAAGCATTAAATCCAAAGTGCAAAGGATTCAGTCATTTCTTCTCTTGGTACAATAAAGCCATCTGTCCCAGCTTTGGGGCTGTTGAGGTTAAATTGCTTAAGATTCCAAGAAAGTGTGTTCCAGTATATTTGGAGGAAACCAGATTGAAGAAGACAGTTCCGACGATCAGCTGGCCCAGCTCCCTGCCCCTACCCTATTCTGTCCTAGATTTATTTATTTCTGGCTCAATTGATTTGCATGACATTTCTCCACTGTTCTACTCACCAAGGCTGCCTTACAAGGTAAGCAGCTGAGCTTCAAATTGCTGTATTGTGAATGGTGTTCAAGCGTGTTAGACATCCACGCAAAGCGCATGATCACCAAATCGGTTGTTAAACTGGTTGCAGCCCACCCTTGATGTTAATGTGATTCTTGTCATTGTGTTTTTTAAATCTATATTTTTCCCTCTAGATTATTGTTAAAATATTACTATGAAAGCCACAAAATGAAAACAAGAACTCATTAACAAATATAAAGCTATACGCATGAACTACCTATATCCTGGTTTGCAAAATTCATTGGTTACTTTATTGCTTCATATTTCTTGAGCTAAGGATGAAAAAAAGTTAAGGAAAACAAGTGATGAAATATATAAGAAGGTCCTTAATTCTTTGCACCATGCATTTAAATAAGTTTACATCAGAACGGGATTTTCCAGTTTAGCAAATGGATATCATATATGAGCAGTATATTAGCTGTTTACATTAAACTTGGCCAATAATAACAAGTGTAATCCTTTTTTAAAAAAATGATATTTGTCACTGGATTGGCACCAAGATAAGAGTACTTTTATATGCAGGGGAAGATTTTCCTGTATGTCTATGCTTGGGCAAGATAAAAATGCTTACTGTTTTCCAAATTTTACAGCTATTTGTGCACTGCTATGAATGCATATCAGTTCCTGCGATGTCCCCTCCATATTAGACATGGAATTAATGAGAAAGCGAAGTTCATGTCAGTTTGGAAGCACCATCGAGTTCAATCAGTGCATTGTGTCACAAAGGCTAAGAGCCAGCCTCTGTCTGTTTCTGCTGCCTGTTACTCAATCTTTATAAAATGATAATGTTATTACAATAGTGTATAGTGTGGTTGCATCAGCATAATTTTAGCAGTCAAAGGAGGGGAGAGGAAAAGGGAAGTGGAAAATCTGGATATCCGTCTCAATTCAGCTTTAAACATTTAGTACTTTTTGAAATAAAAAAAAATATTCTCCATAATTCTACTGTAATTCTTGCTTTTGGGTGCCCACTTTTGCAATTTGGCTATTTTACCTTAATTTGAAGAGCCTTTCTGGGACACTTTATGACTAGGGAATCCAAACTTTACCCATATTTTGATAGTTTGTCCCGAGGACTGTTGAAAGGCTTATTTCTGTTCAGGTTTTGTTGTGTACTGTATAATAGAATGGCTTTTTTTTTCAAATGCATGTTAATAAGCTGTAGCCTCATCATTTCTTACTTGACTTTAAATTAATTCCCAGGACAATATTATACAGCTAGGTTTAGATATGTTTAGGTATACCCATCATGATATTTCTTTTCAGAGTAAGCATTGTTTGGAGAAGAAACAATAAGACAAAGAAATTAAATATTGTGACCTCATGGACAATGTTCCTCCAGGCCTTCATGTCCTCTACCATCCTCTGGAGTCCACACAAACTGCTTCAGTGACTCAATCCAGCCACATCATTCTCTGTCGTCCACTTCTTTTGCCCTCAATCTTTCCCAGGATCAGGCTCTTCTCAAGTGAGTCCTTCCTTCTCATTAGGTGGCCAAAGTATTTGAGTTTCATCTTCAGAATCTGGCCTTCTAAAGAGCAGTCAGGCTTGATCTGTTCTAGGACTGACCAGTTTGATTGTCTTGCAGTCCAAGAGTCTTCTCCAGCACCATAGTTCAAAAGCCTCAATTCTTTGGCGTTCAACCTTTCTTATGGTCCAACGGTCACAGCCATACATTGCACCTGGGAAAACCATAGCCTTGACTAAATATATGATATAATGAAATATATGATATAATAAAAGAGCTGAAACTTCTCACGCCAACACCATTAACTCTATTTATTAAACGGTCCTTGAACCCTTCGTTCTACCATTTGATTATACACCTTCACTCAGTGCCCTTTATTCTTTAAGCCTCTCTATTTCTATTTTTTTTTCAGGATCTAATCTTCCTCCTCCTGCCACAACTCAAAGGACTTGCCGTCAATCCATTACTCATTCATTTATACACTACTTCCCTTTTTACCACCCTGTAGTCCCTATTCAGATTAAAGTCAAGGCATGTGGATGGAGCCGAGCATTTACTGGCCAAATGCCCTTCCTGATGCCATGTGGAATTCACAGCAGGTACTTTATTTTTGCGCTCTAGGAGAGAAAAAACTGGCAATACCTAGGATTGGACTCTCAACCTTCTGAGTGTCTTTACCACTAGGCTACCCTGGCACTCTACTTCCTTCACACACTGTGAAAGTGTATGCACCATTTGTCAAGCTGGGCCTTTCAATGAACCCATAAGAGAACAACAGCTGACCTCTACATAGTACAGGCAGTCTTCAACTTACAACAGTTCATTTAGCAACCATTCAAAGCTACAACGGCACTGAAAAAAGTGACTTATGAACATTTTTCACACTTATGTCCGTTGCAGCATCTCCATGGACACATGATTTATATTCGGATGCTTGACAACTGACTCTTTATGACAGTTCCAGTGTCCAGAGGTCATGTGATCCCCTTTTGCGACCTTCTGACAAGCAAAGTCAACGGGGAAATCAGATTCACTTAACAACCGTGTTATTAATTTAACAACTGCAGTGATTCCATTAACAAACGTGGCAAGAAAAATCCTCAAATGGGGCAAAACTCACTTAACAAATTTCTCATTTAGCGATAAAAAATTTGGACTCAATTGTTGTAAGTAGAGGACTACCTGTCCTATTAAACATGACATCTTTCTGCAAAATTACTATTTATGAGCAGTGGTATACATTTCAAAGTGATCTCATTTAGTAACAAATTTCCAAGTCCATATTCCTGCAAAACCTTCTGGTTCAGACTCTGCCTCTCAATACAAAAAAGATGAACCTTAATGTGCAACCCAGCTGCCCCGCCCCTCTAATCCCGAGGTTATTCTTGGCACATTCGTTGGAATGCAAGAATAGGTTCTTGGAAATGAGTGGTTTTCAAAGATTGCAAAAACTATTCATGCCTGGGATAAGAATCATTTGCATGTCAAATTTATTTTTCATGCCTTTGCTCTGATGTTTGTAACGTGCAGACTAGCCCACAGAAATCATCTTTGCTCTAAGTACCCAAATTATCTCTTTGAACAAACAGTGTGAACCACAAATAGCTAAATCAGACGTGTATGTCCACTGTTTGCTCGGTATGCAAATTAGAGTGGATTCTTGGGGATTACATTTGGCTTCCTGTGTGTAGGGGAAAAAAGAGAGAGAGAGAGAGCCGACATTTACTGTCTGAAACAGACGGTGAAAGAGAAAGAAGAAGAAAAGAAAAGAAGCTGCATTTGCAGCTTTAATGTTCTTTCTATAACCACATGGAATAACAGAGTGTAGGAAAACTGAAAGCAAAGCTCATCCACTTGGAAAACCCAGACAGAAACTTTTTAAGAAGTGGAAAGGACTTTTTTTTTTTTCAAAATCAAGAAAGTGGACTCCCCCCCCACCCCGAAATACGTGAGGTGGAAGTCCAAGGAGAATCCTGCTCATAAAGGAAACTGGATGAGAAAGGTAAAGGTAGTTACAAAAGCTGAGATTTTTGATCAGCGACACCTCTCGAGCAGTGCGCTGTCTTTTAGAAAGTTGCTGACGGAGCTTTGGCATTTGATCATCTCCAACTGCTGATTAACACAGCACTGTTTTATATTTAACTCTGACCAGAGCAGGAGGAGCTGGGGGTGGGGTTGTGCTGCTTATAAGGCAAATCGGGAGCAGCTACAAAGTTCTTCTGTATGCATTCCCTCTTTCTTCTCTCCTGAACCGACTTCTGCTTTCCAGTCATTTTCCTTTGGAAAAAATCAAACTTTTTTGTGGGGGGGTTAACTGTCTAAAAGGGAACCGAGGAGAGAGGCAAGCAAAAGCAGATGAGAAGGAAAGAGGAAGAGACTGCCTATTAAATCCAGCCCTTCAGCCAAAGAGAGAGAAGAGAGTGAGCAAGCCACCGCACTGTTGCTTAATGTGTCTGTTTTAAGTTTTAAGTTTGGTAAGCACAGTGGGAGATGCAAGGAATGGATATTGAAGACAAGTCATCCAAAATGTATTGTATGAGAGGCAAGCACGTGGCCATTATTTGTGGAGTGGTATCTGCTGTGGCCTTAATTTTGGGACTCGGATTAGGTTTAGGATTAAAACCTGAGGTCTGCTATCCTCCAGAAGACAATGGGCAAGTGTCAACAAAACCACCCACCCAACAAAACCACTCATCCACTACTCCACAAGTCACACCTCCTTCAGAGCCCAGTGTCTTTTGCAGTGCCAAAAATGATAAAAATGGACCCTGGATTAATTTTAGGCTGCCAAACTATGTTCAGCCAGTTCATTACGATTTGGACTTGACTCCTGAGATGGAAGCTGAGGTGTACACCGGAATGGTAAATATCTCCATCAGCTTGAAAGAACAGACAACAAGGCATTTGTGGCTTCACCTGAGAGAAACAAAGATCACGGAAATACCTGAGCTCAGGACATCCTCGGGCCAGGAAATTGCGATAAAGCGTTGTTTTGGATATGAACCGTCTGAATATGTGGTGATAGAGGCCGAAGAAGACTTACGTCCTAGCAACTATGTCCTGAGTATGAAGTTCAAAGGCTATTTGAATGGTTCCCTGGTTGGATTTTATAGAACAAGCTATGAGGAGAATGGAAAGACCAAGTAAATCTCTCTTTTAACATTTTTGCACTATTATTTTTCACACAAGGCTCTTCTCTTTCTCTCTCCACCTTACACCTTCTCTTTCCTCACCACAAAACTGTGATCTTTCTTGTGTGTGTATATAACGAATATTAAGGAACCCAATAATGGGATAATGATAAGATACAATGAGGAGAGAGATGGTGGTTGTGGGAATATGGTTTAGTTTTGCTTATGAATTTACCACATATTTACAGAATGCAAGGGCAACAAAATAAGCACGTATCTCTTCGGCTTTTGTTCTATAACTTTCTTTATCTTATTCTTAATCATACTTTTATATTGTTAGACAGATGTTCCAAGACTGGAAACATATGCCTGGTAGTTTAATTTAAATTATTATGATATTATAAATGAAATTCATTATTTATACAATGATGGCCTTGTTTTCGTAGAAAATACATCCAGGAAGCCTTACTTCTCTCCCCCGCCCCCCCACTTTTAATGCACAATTTCATCCATTTGTTGCCTGTAAGGTATGTTTATGTATAATTGTTTGGCAGCATCCAGATTAAGAACTGACTACTGTTAGGTATGTCGAAATGTATCAGTGGAAGGTGAGATAGGAATCTGGTTAATAATGCTTTTCAACCTCTTAATCACAACTTCAAAGTGTTGTTGTTTTTGAAACGGGAGTTTGGTAGTGAGGGGTGTCCATCAGAGACATTTCAACATCTCAGTCCATATATGGAAATCATATATATTGGTTTTAAAATAATAACAAAAAGGGGAAAAAAGGAACAAAATGCAAAAACATTTATGATAGAAATAAATATATTGTCACAGAAAAAAATACATAAAACAATAGCTTGTAAGATTTTTGGAAACAATGTTCTCTACGCTGTAAATTTCTACAGCTATTGCTTTCTAAAAAGTAAAAAAAAATACAACAAAGGAAAAAGAAAAAAAACATAATATGATATATCATGACAGCAAGCAGTTACGATTCTATACAGGTAGTCCTCTACTTACCACTATAATTGAGCCCAAAATTTCTGTTGCTAAGTGAGAGAGTTGTTAAATGAGTTTTGCCCATTTTACAACCTTTCTTGACACAGTTTTTAAGTGAATCACTGCAGTTAGTAATACGGTTGTTACATGAATCTGGCTTCCCCATTGACTTTGCTTGTCTGAAGGTCACAAAAGGTGATAACATGACCCTGGGGCACTGCAATGGTCATTGATATGAGTCAGCTGACAAGCACCTGAATTTTGATCATGTGACTATGGGGATGCTGCAAAGGTTATAAGTGTGAAAAATAGAAACAGCACTTAGACTTACATACTGTTTCACAGTATTTTACAGCCCTCTCTAAGCGGTTTGCAGACTCAGCATATTGCCCCCAACAATTTTGGTCCTCATTTTACCAACCTCAGAAGGATGGAAGGCTGAGTCAACCTTGAGCCTGGTGAGATTTGAATTGCCAAATTGCAGGCAGCTGGCAGGCAGCAGAAGTAGCCTGCAGTAGTGCATTCTAACCCCTGTGCCACCACAGCTCTTGTCATAGTCATAAGTCATTTTTTCAGTGCTGTTGTGACTGTGAATGGTCACTAAATGAACTGTTATAAATAGAGGACTACATGTACTTATCTAGTACAAATATCATTCAAATATTCATATATTTCTAATACATTTATCTAACTGTCATGTTTTTAACCTACTGTATTTTGTAAAAACAAGTCCCATGTTTAATTATACTTGTCCGTACAAAGTCTTATAGGCACTCCATTCATAGATGGCAAATACAATCAGGTCTTCCATCCATTGAATATATGAGGCCCTGAGTTTATCTTTCCAATGCCACAGTAGCAGCCTTTTGGACATAATAAGGGCACAGACAATCCATTTAAGCCCCATTTTCAACCCAACTATTACCTGGCTGGCAAATTCCATATACTAGGTATGTAGCTTAAGAGAATATTATTCTCTGAATATTTTTAGCACTTGTTTCTCTGCTCAAGTTATTAATGCTTTGATAAATAGTCAGATTTCAAAATAGGCTTACTTTTTGCTGCTCCAGAGGCAGTGGTGGGTTTCAAATTTTTTTAGAACCTCTTCTGTAGGCGTGGCCTGCTTTGTGGGAGTGGCTTACTGGCCATGTGACCGGGTGGGAGTGGCTTGCCAGCCATGTGACCGGGTGGGATGGCTTGTCAATCATGTGACCGGGTGGGCATGGCCAACTTGTAAAATGTGGTGAAACTCACTTAACAACGCTCTTGCTTAGCAACCAAAATGTTGGCTCAGAAACTCTGGCATTTGAAGCACGTAAGTCTTAAAGCGGTCAAGTTACAAGACCCTTGCACCCCTAAACCTTTAGAAAAAAACTCCAGGGACGTTCAAACTTGACAGCTTTAAGACTTTAAGGTTTAGATAAGACTCTTAGGGCGGGGAAATTGGTGAGCCAGCCAATCAATGAGCGACAGGCGGGGCAAGTGTGGTGTGGACCATGCCATGGTGTGGACCAGGCAAGGGGAGGGAGCCGGAACCAGTTCTAAATGGCATGGTAGATTTGTGGAACCTCTTCTATAGAAGAGGTTAGAACTGGCAGGAACCCACTCCTGTCCAGAAGGCTCAGCTAGAATCGATGAGTGGAAATTGCAACATTAGGGAAATTTCAAGCAGGAGCTGTTAGATGATGGAAGAGAGCACTCTGGGGAGGACCTATTAAGCAAAAGCTGAACAGCCATATGTTAAGGATGCTGTGGTTGCAAGTTTCCTGCAGTGAACATAATTCTATCTTGCAGGCTTTCATAACAGGCTGCATTTATGGTAGAAGTTTACAGCATAGAGAGCATTGTTTCTGAAAATCTTACAAGCTATTGTTCAATTGGAAATTCATTTCATCACAGTGAATGTTCCCATATTAAACCAAAGGTTTGGAATTCTTCCGTGCCTAGTCCAGCCTTTCCCAATCTCATGGTTTCCAGATGTATGACTACAACTCGCATTATCCAATGCCATTTGGATATATTGCCTGGAAGAGTGACAGTCTGAGTGAGTTTCATCCTTCATTCCCATGTTTAGTCATAATTGTAAATAGGAAACTGGGGATTGATGAAGCAATGTTAGTACTGACATAGTATTAATCATTATTTGTATCTAAAACCTAGAACAAATAATTTTCCACAGACTGATTCAGATATACACAATATGTATTGTTTTGTTTGGCCATGTTTGTACTGAAATGCTTGTGGAGACTTCAAAATTAGAAATTTGTTTTCTTAATAAAATGAAATTTAATGAAGTATTCAGAAGAATAGGTCAGGCTGAAAATTGTGTAAGTCATGTGGTGCCACAAGCTCTACAAAGACCCTGTTGTGGATTGTATTCTGATTTCTGAAATGCTGTAGAAATGCCTTAAATTGTAGTCTTAATTATTATGTTTCTAAGGTAGTTAGTTAGCACTATCTGATTCCATCCATGAACTCTTTCAACTTCTAGTACGAACCATAAACCCCAGTCTGTATTTTGTTCAATGGACAGAGATTTGAAAATCAGAAGAAACTCTGAACTCTACAACTGCAAGAAGAAATTTAGAGTAAATGAAGATGTGAGGCAGGATTGTGAGCACAGAATCGGTAAAGCAGAATGTTAACTAAAAAAAAAAAAGCAAGATTGCTCTCATTATACACACGCAGGGTATGTGTGGCCAAGTCCCTCCTGCATGTGACAATTAATGGACTACATAGAGACTGTAGAAGAGGGAACATCTGTTTTATGGTAATCTGCTAAATAGACGAAAAGGAGTTGAAAGGGAAGCCTTATCCATTTGTTGATCTTAGTCTTCCTTTCAAAACCATTAAGGGATATGTACTCAGTAACAGCACCAGTAAAGAATCCTTTTCCCCTAACAAAGCTGTCATACACTTGACAGTTAAGTAATGTAAAAACGTGCTTTCACCACATTTTGGTATGTACTAATGGGTACTTTGGAACATAATTCTAATTTTGTCTACATCAGCCTTCTCTAACCTAGCACCCATCAAATGTATTGAGGCTACAGCTTTCATTATCTTCTTGCTGGGAATTCTAGGAGTTGTAGGGTAAGGAAAGCCTGGACAATATTATTTGGGCGGGATGGTTTAGAACTGTAGGTTTTCCCCAAACCAACTAAGACAAACTACTTACCTATTTAAATGTAGCTACGCTGTTTCCCTGAAAATAAGACCTTCCAGGATAATAAGCCCAATCAAGCTTTTGAGTGCATGCACTAAAATAAGCCCTCCCCTGAAAATAAGCTCTTCCTGAAAATATTGCAACACAGCAACGCTCGCCACCTCCTGCACCTCAAAAATAATAAGACCTCCCTGAAAATATGGCCAAGTGGTATTTTGGGTGTCAAAAGAAAATAAGACCCTGTCTTATTTTTGAGGAAACACGTTACTTGGGACTTGAAAAGAATGTACAGCCTCATATATTTCTTCCATATTCAAAATATCTATTTGTCTTCAGTATTGTGTGTGACTTAATTCATATGTACACATGGAAAGGAATAAATTGAAAAGTATGATTGATGTGACAGAAGGAATCAGTAACAAGGACATGGAAATTATTTGAAACAGAATGAAAACAATGGCATTATAGAGAGCCTGAAAAGTGTGTGGAATTGTACTAATAGGAAGCCTGAAAAAGAATGATTTTTGGAATGATGAAGTGAAAGAGGCTGTGGATGATGAAAAATTTCATATAGCAATAGCACTTAGACTTATATACCACTTCATAGTGCTTTATATCCCTCTCAAAATAGTTTAAGAGAATGATTGCTGACTAAAAAAATAAGAATGAGAAATAGGTTTGGAAAGCAATCACCATTTTTCAGAGCAAGACCTTTCCAATATCAACAGCATTATTATGACCTTGGAAATGGCATAGCATTTTATGAGCTGTCTCTGCTATGGTTATTTACTCCAAATGTAGTTTCTAATTCATTTTCTAACAGGTCATCATTGTTGGGACAATA